GCTTGTTGAATTTTTGGATAACAGATTTGCTAAGCGACGACCGGAGAGAGGCTGATACCAAAATCTAATAATTTACGATGAAAACGATGCTTTTTTTTCACATGAATTAATAGGTGGATTATGTGCAAAATTTGACGCCATTGGGGAAAATGGGAAGTCACCAAATGTAGCTATAAATAAATAAATAAATAAATATATATATATATATATATATATATATATATATATATATATATATATATATATATATATATATATATATATATATATGAAGTTTTGCTTGTTTGTTTGTGGGTTTATGTCCTCTAAGCAGCACTACACCTTTCATCCTATGGCCATGCAACTTAAGTTAAGAATACCACTGGATATATTTCACAAGCACGGTGCCCCAGCAGGGCGCGAATCGATTCTATATATAGATCCCTATATAGGGTATATATACGTAAAAGAAGATTGCGGTTCAATCCCGTTCATCCGCTCGCCATAAAACTTCAGGGGAGGTTATTTTTTTTTTATTTTAACAGGGCGGCGCTTCTGGAGGGTGCAATTTTTCTCTACACAGTTTGTAAAAAACAAAACGGATGCTGTTTGACATCGTTTATCTGAGTGCCGTTAAACTTTCGAGAGTTAATGAAAACACTCACGAAAAGGTTTCTGCGAAAACAAAAATTAAAATTTATTATGGGCGTTTCCCTGGAGGGTGCGATTTTTGTTAATAAACGCGGCTTGGCGCCTGAAAATCCAGGGCGGCGATATTAAAACTGCATGGGGGCTAAGGTAAAAAAGCAACAACAGGATATTACGTAACCCGAAGCGCCCCGTGCTACCATGTGAACACTATGACGCATACGTTCGTTTTTTTTTTTAATTTATACACTAAAGACACGATGGGCAACAATAATTTTTGACTATATGGAATCAGGCGCGTCTGCCGGCGCCCCGGCAGGATGCGATTTGGCGCCCTGAGATATCCTAAGGTTGTGTTAAAGAGCACTCTACAATATTGACCCTGTGGCACACGACATTCGATGACAATTCGTATGACCCGATGCGCCACTGGCTTCGGGAGGAACACTATGAGTTTTAAAAGAGCGCCCTACAGTAGGGAATTTTTTTGTCTACTGCACCACTGGCGTGTGGTCTAGCGCCCCTGTGTGGGTCCCTCATAAACACTATTGCGCCTACGTTCGTTTTAAAGAGTGCGATACATTATGGATACAATGGGCTACTGTGTGCGGTAGAATTTGCGCCTCAACAACTATGATGAAAGCAATATAACACCGGCTTTGATTACATTTAAATTGTTTAGATTTAGAAATCAATGTCAAGCGTAAAAAAATACGTGATTGCTAATGTAATTATGGAATCCTCTTAAAATATTGCGTCAGTCTGTCTTCTGAGACCGCAGCAACGCGCGGGACGGGTACGCTGGTTTAATATATATTTCTTCTATATAAATAATTCTCTTCATGGATACCATAGAAAACACCAAGCTGTAAGCGCCCCTAGCAGCCCCCTCTCTTTCTCTCTATCCCTACCACCCCCATCCCTACATGGTCTGGTGAGCTGTGGTTCAAGCTAAATGTTTACAATCGTAGAGCCGGGTTTAGTGACAGCTATTAGGGGCAGATAATTTAGTTTGAAACGATTTTAAACTTAGTGGAGGTAACTCAGAGGGGGCTGCTTTCACGAGGAGGGGGGGGGGGTAGGATTTTTGGGAAAGGAGGGTGGGGAGGGGGGGGGTTATCGTCCTTAACGAGCTACTGATAGTGTTTTAAAGCAAATATTTTCAGTGGCAGCATTGTTACTGTCAAATTCACAAATTATGAATTACTGAAAAGTAGAAAATGAAACAACTAAATAGCGGCGTATGATAGCGGCTCGTAAAATATAAAACACAATGTAAATACCTTTGTTATACCTACGGAAAATAATAATATGTAACATGGATTCCTGAAATTTTGCGCTGCTTTAATTTTTAACGTTGGGATCCTTCATCAACATCCATACTCTCCTTTAGTATCTTCAGGCTTTTTTTTTTCATTTATGGGAAGGGATGATCGGAAAGTGTGACGACACATTTTTGCTTTCATCCGTTATTTCGGGCTTTAAAAGATTGCTTTTGGTATTAATTCATTTATTAACTCAATGTTTATCGAGGTCAGTACATATTATAATAAACCGGGAGTGATCTCCCCTAAACTTTCTCGAATATTCTAATATAACACTACGGGGAATGGCAACTCGGGATATAGACATGATTTTTAATCCATTTTAAATACTTAAACTTTTTAAAATAGAATAAAACCTCGTAGAAAAAAGAATCGCACACCAAGTGAACGTCAAATAAAGATGTGCATAATAGTGCGCAACATTATTAGTACTTTATAAATTTACGTGCGTTTTTTGAGAAATTAGTAAATTAGTACTTCCTGTCAACGGAAATTACTCAAAATTTGTCAGAAGGTAGAGAATTAGATCTTTTACTTACATATGAAATTTCATTTATCTATCTGCAATAGTACTCAAGTTATAGGCTTTTGAAAAATTCAAAGTAGAAAAAGTACCACTTTCGGTTATCGGAAATCACTCAAAAGTTTATACGGATCTATGATTTTGATAAAATACTTATATATGAAATTTCATCAACCTAGCTGTAACGGTACTCAAGTAATCGTGTTTACACACAGACACACACAGACACAGACATACGGACAAGATTGCAAAATTATGTTTTTCCGTATCAGTGAGGTGTAAAACGTCGAGATTTGTAAAAAATCTCGTTTTTTTTTTTTTTTGCACGATTACAAGACTTTCTCTATACTTCGTATATACGAGAAAGTAAAAATTCAGTTTCAGGGGAACGGCGGAGGGGGTTATGTGTTGAGGTGTAGTGTTTTTAAAGAGAGTGGTGGGGGGGGGGGGAGCGAAGATCTGGCTTTTTGTGAAAATTTGTTACAATTAGAGAAGGGGGGTTTGGTGCAAAATCGTCTGAAGAGTGAGTCGTGGTTAATGGGTGACCACTTTATGATTGTATATTGACGTCACCATCATTTTGGGCGGTGGCTTTATGTGACGATATGTAGCGAGAAAAAAGAGGGTTGAGTTAATGGCGTAGCATTTATTTTGCATTTTTTAAGGATACAAATAATAAAAACACTGCTTATTTTGTTTTACATGTGTGACGACATTGTGTTAACCAAATGTATTGAATAGTAGGACTTACAGATTATTAGTTCTCTCCCCCCCCTGAAGCAATTACCCCCTGTCATTTACCCCCCGCCAAGGAGGACATCTCCCCCCCCCCCACGCACACACCTCTTAAGGTACAGCTGGGGTTATGGTTAGGGTTACGGCTAGGGTTAGGGTTTGGGTTAGCGTTAGGGCTAGGGTTAGAGTTAGGGTTAGCGTTCTGGCTAAGGTTAAGATTATGGTTAGGGTTACGGCTAGGGTTAGGATTAAGGTTAGCGTTAGGGCTAGGGTTAGGGTTAGGGTTAGGGCTAGAGTTAGAGTTTGGGCTAGGGCTAGCGTTTGTGCTAAGGTTAGGGTTATGGTTAGGGTTAGCGTTAGAGTTAGGGCTAGGGTTAGAGTTAGGGCTAGAGTTAGGGTTAGCGTTCGGGCTAAGGTTAGGGTTAGCGTTAGGGCTAAGGTTAGGGCTAGGGTTAGATTCAGAATTAGAGTTAGTGTTATGGTCAGGGTTAGGATTAAGGCTAGGATTAGGGTTAGTGTTATGGTCAAGGTTAGGCTGAAACCTAAGTCTAGGGTTGGTTTTGATTATGTGTTAAGTTTTAGGCTGAGGTGAATGCTTAGGGTTTGGTCATTTTTTTTATCGATTAGGATTAAGGAAATACATAGGTATAGAGTTTGAGTTAGGATCATAACTTGAGGCCGGGGGGGGGGGGGGGGGATTCTCCAGGGGGGTTATTGACAAGGGGTAATTGCCCCGGGGGGTAAATACGGGAGAGGGGGGGTCTCCTCCGGGGGGGGGGGGTAATTGACGGGGTGGGGGTAATGTCATGTAGCCAGGTCCACTATTAGAAAGCCAAGATTCCAAACTGTGTAGCCTTATGTATGTAGGTAATCTAATCTCATACAAGTTATAAAAAGAGCCATCGTTGTCGGCTTATTTAACAGGGAAGTCTTAGTCTAAATCAATCCACGACAATGTCTTTAAGACAATAAACCTTAACTTTGCTAGAAATAACAATATCGTTCTTCATTCAGTCAAACTCAACATTATGGCTTCACTGAACTTTGTCATTGAAATGCATGTGTAGTTTGAAATGTGTGTCTGTTAAAATTGTACAGTTGATACCGAATATATCCAGCCTTTTTCTTCTTCGTTCAGCTGCTTTTCTTTCTGGATTTCTTTTCTTATCTTTTGTCAATCCAAGAACAAGTGTTGTATCCCCAAGATAGGTTGCTATCCCCAACTATAGAGCCTCATCTACACGGGAGATTGAACTCAGGACTTCTCGGTTTAGCAACCACGAACTTTACAAGTTCTTGATTTTGGTATTGGCGTGTCAGTTTTCTTCTTTATTTAGTCGACATCTAAAGTTAAACAAAAACAGTTGCCTACCTCAGCAAAAATCAATGTAGGCCAATTATGGCCAGTGTAGCAATTAGCAACATCAAAGTTGATTTGAATTCCATGCAACACTCATTCCATACTTCTCTAGTGTGGAGGTCTTGCTTATTAATATTATCCTGTTTGTTTGATACTTTTCTTTAACTTAATAATATTAACCATAGACACTTTTTGCCTGGAGTACAAACTGGGTCACAGTATTCTCTGGTAAACAATTAAGTTATTTTCCAAATATATGCTCAGCTAATAGAAACAGCATTCCTAGATTATTTTTTTTTATTTTTTTTTTTTAAAGGGCTTCAGCTGTTTTAATGTCAACTTGTGCTGGGAATACTATAACTACATACAACCCTTTTCAGCTTTCAATCACTTGCATCTTATGTACGAAGTAAGAAAACCAAATACATCAAATTTTGAGAAATAATTTATTTATGAAACAATTGCATATAATTATAAAGCCAAACATTAATATATCAAGATTATTGCAATTATCACCATTTGCAGATTCTTGTTTAACTATGGTAGATGGAAGTATTAGTTGCCTTTTACATCACTTTTCACTTCCTGAAACAAAACAAAATGATTTTCTTAATCATCCATCTGAAATAATAAAATTAGCAAAAAAAAAAAAAATCTTTAGTTTAAATTAGTTTAATACATCAAAACAAAACAAGAAAAAAGTGATTGAATGGGATAAATCATGGCATAGATATCTATAAAATTTTGCTTTAGTGATAAAGGGGGAAAAATTTAAGTTATTTTAAGTGAAACATAAGCTAGAGAAATAAACTATTAGGCCTAATTTAAATAATTTAATTCCTTTCTCCCAAAACACTACATGTATCCTTAAAAAAAAGAAAACTTAAAATTTATCAATATTTACCTTGTGTATAAACTCTTCTGTACATCTACTGTATCAGCTTGACGCTCATTAGGTATGCCTAGTTCCTGTTGAGCAGTTAAGACAGATTAAGTAAATAATTCAAATTTGTAAGACAAACCACTAAATGATACTGTTTTATATATATATATATATATATATATATATATATATATATATATATATATATATATATATATATATATATATATATATATATATATATATATATATATATATATATATATATATATCCTTCCTGCAAATCAGCATATTTTGCAAAACAAATATTTAAAAAAATACATAATGATATTGTATCAATCATCACTACTGACTTGGTTTTACTAGGTAAAATATTTTTTTAAATACAATATTTATACAAATAAAAATCTATCTCAATCAACATGTTCAAAATAAACCAAAGCAAACTTGTGATAACTTACCTGATTAATGTTTGAGAGGATTCACCCAGTTCTCGCCACTGAAGCAGATTAGATGCATGTGTTATTACACTTGTGATATACTGATTGCCATTTTGTGTACTTTTAGTCCTGGAGATCTATGATGTAGGCATAGACTGTTAAACCTGGATAGTAATATTATAGAAGTAAATTATATCTAGTATAATATAAATATTTTAAAATATAAATGACACTAAATTATATTTATCATTATTGGAAATAAAAATGGTACAATTAAGTTATAAAAAAACAAATTATAAAATTTAAAGCAGCTTATTAATAATTGTCATACCTTTTCCTACTTTTATGTCAAATGTAAGAGGTAATAGAGAAAGAACATCTTGTGTCATTTAGTATGCTGTAGTCTTATTACTGGTAAAAATCAGATCTTCCCTTTTTTTTTGATGAACCTGTAAAAGAGAAATTACAACATGGATAAACACAATGAATATCATATCTAATCCTCAACTAGTAATCACCCCAATCCTAACCTCATTTTTTAAAACCAATTTCTAAATATGTTTTCAGAACAAATGTATGTTAAGTCTACCTATTTTAATGTTCAGAATACTAATATTTATCAAAACTACCTCCAGTTGAAATTCAAGATACCTTTATAAAAAGTTATTAAGACTTTAACTTTGTGTAGTTGTTATTTAGGCTATTTGTTTAATTTATATTATTTAAATTAATATTTCATGCCTTGTTTTAAAAAGATCTACAAGTCTACTTTTGATTTTATGGTATAATCTGATAAAAATTAGGCTGCTACATCTGAAAACTAAGGTCAATGCAAAGACTTCCAAATTAACGATAAGTAGGCTTGTATAGATATTGTATATAATTACTAGCCCAATAGTATTACTCTACGACCAATGTATAGGACTTAATGTATCAGACCTAATTCCTATAATTAGGCCTACTAATTATTAAATAATTAATAGATCTAACAGTAGGATAATTACAATTATGGGCCTTAGCTGACATAGAGAGCTGAATACTTAACTAAACATTTTTAAAAATTATAGTAAGCTAAGTGAGTTGAATTATTTTATTTAGATAGGCCTAGGCTATAGTATACTCTATAGCAGTCTATAGTGATAGTCGCAGAGTAGCGTATATCATAATAATTTCAAATTAAATCTATAAGCAACATTAAGCCTCTGCCTTGTTGCCTAATTAAAAACTAAAGCCTATTAAGCCTTTTCCTAATAAGCCTTTGGCCTAATTTAAATAACAGCCTATAGGCCCTATAATATATAAATAGGCTAAACTACTTGTAAGACCTAATAGACTAATGACTAAGAGAGTGCTAGGCCCCTTTCCGATATTATATAATAATTGCTTGATCGATATCATAATATCTAACACTGATTACATTAATTTACATAAGGCTATACCATCTTAACTATGACTAATACTTTTTCTACTAATAAAATAGGCTATCTCTAGTTTAAACTTAGGCCTAATACTACTAATAGTAATTAGTAATTATAATTAAGTAGGCCATTTTATGACATTTATAAAATTTTTAGTAGATGGCCGAGCCTTAAATTTAAATACTAAAATAGATTTAGCATACTATGCCTATTGTTGGTCTAATTAATAATTTATTTTTCATTTAGAATTTTAGATCTCCAAAAGATAGGCCTAGGTCCTAAATAAATTATTTTTATTTTATTGAGCCCGCCTTAATGTATAAGATGTGATCTGTTTTTTTAATAAAAATAACCCTACACAATACTAGTGATTTAACTAATATCTAGTACTACTTTAGGCCTATTTAATTATTTATTAGTAGGCTGAATAAAATCTAAAGCTATAACTACTATAAGGCCTACTTTATTACTATATTTGCCTATTATTCTATAATTAATTTATGTTTTCTTTCAATGCATAGTAGATCCTGTGGTACCTCAACATTCTAGTGCCTCGACATACCAGATTTTTTAAATACGAGCAGTTGAGCGAGTAATATTTCGCTTTGAGTTACGCGCAAAATTTGAGATACCGTATTTCACAGTTCATGTAAAAGAAATACCCCCAAAAAGATGCAAATGATTATTTATCGCAGCTATTTAATTATAATAATAAGCGTCTTACTCATATTTGCAGCATTATGAAAGGGAGAAAGAAATAAACTTCCTAAACAAGTTTTATTTTAAGCTACCAGCACATGAAAGTGACTTAAATTAAGCATGGCAAAAAAGAAGAGAAAAGCTGTCACGAAAATTAAGCTAACGTAATAATTTTATTTAGTATTTAGGCCTTACGTTTAAGTCTTAAGTGCAACAATGCTCAGTGAATTTTAGCCTTTAGCCATTAATGGCATTAAGTTTATTAGGAATGATGTGTACTTGTGTAGCTTTAACTTTAGTATATTTTTAGACCTAAGCCTAATCTTGTAGATATAGATCTACAAACAATTTGAAATAGAAGAGATTTAAAATTGAGTAGATCTAGATCCTAAATGCTAAAGGACAGCTATGCCACAGAAATAATTATCTTTCTATCTAGTCAATCAAGACTAGATCTAGATCTAGACAGTGCTACTGAAAAATTACTAGACTCTAGATTTTCTAGATCTAGATTCTATTATTTACTTTCGACGCACTAGGCATACTTTTAACTTTTTCTCTCTAGTCAATAATGTAGATTTCTAGATCTAAATGTAAATCCTGATCTTGTAGATTTGATTTACGTAGGTTTTACATCAGTGTAAATCGTTGATCAAGTAGATCTAGTCTAGATCTGGACTAGCTCTCGTCAAAACAAAATTAGCTTCAAAACACCTACAGTTTATGCTTTCCTAATTGTGGAGAGCATGTTTAATTATTGTTTTATTTTCAACGACAGTGTTGACTGAGAAACCACCAAAGGGTTTTATTCTCAGCGACACAGTCGGAGAGAGGCTCAACGATTCTGTCGTTGAGATGATCCGCATGGGGTGCTCAGGTAGCCGCTGGGCCCAACCGTTACTACTGCTGATGCGCTGGAGGACACCCTTTATTCGATTTAGTAATTGACCGTAGTATCCCGACGTATCCCTAGTGTATGGCGCTCATTAAAACGAATATAGGCGCCGTAGTGCTCATGGGGGAGCCCGGGGCTCACCAGGTTACACGACCGCCGAGGTGTCGGCTGCAATTTGATGACTGAATCAAGCAGTAACGCTTACCCACAGCACCAGACACCGAATCTTCGGATGTCAGGTGCAAAGATAGCTGCTGGGAAACTCTGGGCAGCAAACTGCGCCACCTTGCTGCCGGGTCAACGCCCTCAGAAATAAAATAAAAATGTAATGGCAGCAACCTTCCCAAAACTCAGAGTTTCTTTTAGGCACCTTTTCATGAAAAATGCCTGGGAAAAAATACTTCTTTGACAATTTTCTCAACGACTTCCCAAAGTTTCTCGGCGATTGAATAAAATTCAAAACATTATAGTATTAGTAGCGCCATGTTGGTTAAAGATTAATTAGATCAACACATGAAAAGTCATTAAGGTAAAGAAAAACATTGACAAATGTTGGACAGCTGGTTGTGAGAACACTATCTATGGTTTTTGTTTAAATATCTCAGTTGCCACAAAAGCATTTTAAAATTTGGTTTGGAGAACGGAGGCTAAATTTAAAAGTTGGTTTCATTAAAATTAATAGAATTTGAAAAATATCAACTATGTAGGTAAAAAAATGATCATATAAGTAAAGCATTATTAAGTCTATCAGTCTATGTAAAAAGAAAGCAAATATTGTCGGCACTTTTTTTATAAGATCAGCTCTCATATCACAACCAATTTATTTTTATTTTTTAAAAACCACGTGACCGCTATTTGAGATCACTAGTGAGGAACTCTGGGTGCATGGCCACTTAAAAAGTCTAACCTGATTTGTGGTTTTCTTTAGCATCAAGGGTTAGAAGAGTTGTCATGGAGAGATGTGTTGGCCATGGCAGTGAGTGTCAATAAATATTAAATTAAGTAATTTAGTTTAAAATGAACTAAAAACTTCAAAATTAGTGCCTAATGGATTAAATATGGATGTCTATTATTCAGTGGTCATGTTTATATTGAAAATTGCGTAAATTTTAGATTTAGTAAGAAAAACTATATTATAGGCCTATCTATAATATAAGCGGGCTGAGCGTGTGTCAGTCTGTCATCGCTATAGATTTTGGGACTATAAAAGTAAACTACGCACCATGCTGTGCTTTTCAGTGCACCGCAGTGTCTTATTATAAGTAATAGAGTAGGGTTTGTTTATATAGCGGCATAGAGCTATTTTATAATTTCCACTGTTTGTACAATTTTGCATAACGTAAAAGAGAATATTAAATACACGCACATTGCTAAAACATATTAAAAGGATCAATGTCAAATATCGTTTTCGTTAATATTCCCAGAAAAAGTGGATACATTTTTATAACATAATAACAGTACGGTAGAAAAATCAAATTAATTTAACTCTCTTTTCTAATTTTGACAAAGGAGGTAATTTAAAAATACATTAAACTCACACTAATAAAAAATGTGAATGCAAATATACGTTCGTCATAGAAGGAATTAGTGTTGCGATAATATAATTAGCAAAATGTGAATGCAAATTATTCGGATGTGTAATGGAAATTATTGTTTGAAAATAATAATTAGCATGGATTGATAAAAGACAATATTTTATTTATTTTATTCACTAAATGTAGGCCCTACTGTTTATTACTAAGACTTATAATTTTTAATTAACTATTCAGCACTATTATCGACGCGTCATCACGTTCATTAGGTGCGCAATGGTTTTAGTTATGAAACTTTATTGTAATTTTTTTTAAATTTAAAGTACTGGAAAAAAAATGCGTGAATGGATAAAGTGAACTATTGTAGGTAAAACACGGATATTTTAAATACTGCCTATTATTTATACTGTTTACTAATTATTATTCTATCTTTCGGTTTGCGGACAAGCTAGGGGTTTTATAGGAGAGGCGTAGCGAGTGGGGGGGGGGGGGGCATATGTCCCCGGGTGCCGACCTTAGGGGGCGCCAAAGTTGGTTGGAAAAAATATGCGACGGGGGGGGGGTTGAAATCGAAAGTTTTAGGGCGGGGGGGTGGGGGGTGGGGGGACAGGGGTGCAAATCGAAAGTTTGAGGGGGGTGCAAATCACCGGAAATGGCGCGATTTGACAATATGCCTTTATGATTGCATTTAAATTGTGTTTATGTTATGAGTGTTGTGTTTGTTTTTTCGTTTGTGTTGTGTTTAGTTTTGTTCTGTTCCCAAGTTGGTACATTTAAAAAAGATTTACCGTGGCGGAGCACGGGATGCAGCTAGTATATATTTGTCAACACAACACCATATTAAATGAACACACTGATTAAGTCTGAATAAGAGAATTAAATTATTACTTTAAGTAATTTGTATTACTTTTAGCCGATAAAAGTAAAAGTGTATACATTTCATAGCGTACGCCCCGATAAGTAGATCTAGATCTATAGATCTAAATCAAATTTGAATGAAATAGTTCATTTCTTTATATACTAAAATTGGAAGATGATGCCATTAGTTTTGAACTGTTTTGTGTTCTTTCCAAAGTTTAAAGATGTCACATGTGAAGTCATTGTTTATTTCATTCTTTTGACAACAATAAATGCTTTTCTGGTTGCATTATTAAAATTGCGTTTCTACATTCGAATATGCCTTAAATTGTATTTCCCTTCTTTAAATAAAATTAAGATAATACATTAAATACATTTATAACATCCACCATATATATTATTTTCAACAAAAGCCACTATCCACAAGTTCTCCATATTTAGCTGAACATTCTGATCACAATCGCCTAAAAAAAACTTGCGGACAGAGAGAGAGAGAGAGCGAAAAGTGCGAAAATGGACTTTTATATATTAGGATTAATATAGATCTACAGGTAATCTATCGTTTTAGGTGCGTAAAATGCTCCGAGGCTGGTAATGTGAAAAAATTGCCTCATTGTTAAGACTTTAATAGATGTATATTATGATATAATTTTGTCAAATATTATAGATTACTGAATAATAAAGCAATGGCTAAATATATCAATATAGGTCAGAAATTAGCTTTAAACACCAGTGTTTGCGAGCAAGATTTGCTATATAAACAGCGGCCACCTGTATATTAGAGTGGTTTCCCCTGAATCTCTAATTATAATTTAGCCAAAAAATTTAAACAAGATGATTGCTAAAATAAATGAGCTTGGTTGCAGTGGATGTAAACATTGCTAGATCTAGTCTTTATTTATTACTGAAAAGTTTTAATACATTTATTTAAAAACAGTTACATGAAACTTTGAAACATTTATGTAGCTTTCAAAACTTAAATCCTCCTAAAAATGTGAAATCATAAATTTAATATGTCAACTTTTTTTCACATTACTAGTCTTGGCTGATTTTACGTACCTTAAGCAATAGATTACCATTAAATATAGAAATTTTACACTTCACAGTAAAAAAAATTTGGTATAGACTATTATAGAGTACTATAGAGATCTAGATCTAGAAAACTAGATCCTAGTCTATACGTCTAAGTTTGTTTTATGACATTTTGATTTAATAGGCATATAGTTAGAAATTCAAATTAGGGTCAGGGCGTAGGCATATGGACTATGGTAGGTACTAGATCTAGGTAGGGTAAGGATTTCTGTCACATTACTAAATGAAAATAATTACTATATCTAGTACTAGCTGTGGCCTATTTTAAAATAATTTTTAGTACCTAAAACTAAAATTGATAGTTATTATTTTTATTATTAGATTAGAATCTACCATTAAATATGTAAATATAGGTTTTTAGGTAGGTAATAGACTTATAGATTTACAATATTTTATAACAAAGATCCGAAAATATTCAAAATATACTTATTTTAGGCCTATTAATATTATTAATTAATATTAATGCTTCTTTATCAACTCATAGCCCTTCTTGAAAATCTCATCAAGGCCTATTAATTTAAAATTATAAAATTATAAAATAACAGGACTATTAATAATTAACTAGACTTACCTGGTCATCCCTTGGATAACTGTAGGTTTTGGGGGTCATCCATAACATTACGTCTGTCATTTATCATCATAAAATAACAATAACCAGACCCCACATTCAAAAAGACGTTTTTTATCTTTTAAAACACCGATTTCAGCTGAGCATAGGTCTGACCACACTAACCTTTCATATATGATATCACAGGTGACCTATCCAACTCTACTTCAGTGTCCCGCCAAGTCTCAGACAACATGTTTTTATTGTTTAAATAAAAACGATTCTCGTCGAGCATTTTTCTGACAACACTATGCCTTCATATGCTTAGGACAAAGAAACAGATGAACTTTACTTCATCTGCCCTGTATCCCGCCAAGTTCAGATAGTCAAATTTATCATTAACATCTAAAAACAAAATTGAAAAAAAAATTATGAAGTATGAAAATTACATTTTTGAGTATTTTATCTCTAAACCATATGAGTTTGTGGGCATTAAGCTTTCCATTGGTACTAAATTTATGGATCTAGCTTTATTAGGAGAAGAGGAATTTTTTTCTTCTATTTAATAAAGGTTGAACTAAAAGAGCAAGGGTCTAAGGTCTCTTAGATCTGTATGAATTCTAAAAAAAAAATTAAGCAAGTGTAAAGTTAAGACATAAATATTTAAACATTTTTATAAATGCAATCAATATATTTTCAAATACTATTTTTAATTTGGTTTTCTAATCAAGATTATTTTTATTTTCAGTTTTTTCTGCAATAATTCATGAATCTAAAGCTATGGAAAACACAAAGGACAATAATGGTATAGTTTGGGAGAGTTCAAATATGGTTAAACAAGAATTGAGTGATGAAATCATAACATTTATGGACATTAAATCAGATGAAACATCAGCTATTTCAAGTTCAGAAGGAGTACAAACAAATATATCAACACTCTTTTCAAATTCTGAAGATATAAAGCAAAATGTATCAACACAATTTTCAACTGTTAAAGACAAATACTTGGAGGAAACAATGCCATTTTTAGCTTTAGAAGATAAAAATCTTGATAAAACAAAGCCTTTGTTTAATTTAGAAGAGATGAAACAAGATAACCTAACATCATTTTCATCTTCTGAAGACATGAAACCAAATAAATCAACAGCATTTTCAATTTTTGAAGATATAAAACCTGAGATATTAACAATTTCATCTTTGGAGAGTGAACAACAAAATGGTTTCAAAGCACAGCAACAACTTTCTTCCCCACCAGATTCAACTGATTTTAAAGAAAATTTCGCAGTTTTAAAATCAAATCTTCAGAATGAATTAAAAGAACTCAAGTTATTGCATACAAAATTGATTGATAATCTCCCAACAGAATATCTGATTAGCAATAAGGGACTGAAGACATACAAGTGTGATATGTGTTGTCAAAGATTTTTCCATTTTGATCATGTTAAACAACACATAAACATTCACACAAGGGTGAATCCATATGGTCATGATTTTCATCAGCAAGAAGTTGTTAAGATCAGTCATGTTGAACAAATTAACAAAATAAACCTAGAACAGGTATACAACAAGTCTAGTTTGTCTAAAAAGTTCACTACAAAGTCTAGTTTATCCACACACACAAATATTCATTCTGGAATTAATAAGCCATATGAATGCTATGTGTGTCATAAAAAATATATTAAAAATCATTTAGCAAACCATATAAAGATACATTTAGGAGAAAGACCATATGAATGTGATGTGTGCCATAAAAAATTTAGTCAGAAAGGTCATTTATCAGAACATACAAATATTCATTTGCCAGAGAGACCATATGAATGTGATGTGTGTCACAAAAAATTTAATCATAAAAGTGATTTATCAAAACATAAAAGTATTCATTTACCAGAGAGACCACATAAATGTGATGTTTGTTATAAAAGTTTTGCCCTTAAATCTAGATTATCTAGACATAAAAATATTCATTTACCAGAAAGACCATATGAATGTGATGTGTGCCATAAAAAATTTAGGCATAAACATAATTTATCAGAACATAAAAATATTCATTTACCAGAGAGACCATATGAATGTGATGTGTGTCACAAAAAATTTAATCATCAAAGTCATTTATCTAGACATAAAAATATTCATTTACCTGAGAGACCATATTATGAATGTGATGTGTGTCATAAAAAATTTAGTCGAAAAAGTACTCTATCTACCCATAAAAATATACATTTACCAGAGAGACTATATGAATGTTATGTGTGTTATAAAAAATTTAATCATAAAGGTGATTTATCAGAGCATAAAAATATTCATATACCAGAGAGACCATATAAATTTGACATTTATTACAAACGTTTCCTCAAAATCTAGTTTATCTATGCACACAAATTTTTATTCAAGGACTTGAATGTGTTGTTTGTCATTAAATTCTCTTTCACAAAGATCTTTAATTATCTATATATAAAGTTATTGCTTTTTTTTTTACTAATACCACATTTTGTAGGCTGAAAACACACCATTAATGTTTGTTATACAAGATATACTACTCTTCATAGTATTATTTGTCATACAAAGTATTACTAATGATTAATATGCTATCTAGACATTTCACACAATGGAAAGAAAACTACATGGAAAGAATGGATGTCATGAATCACCATAGCACATTTATTATCTTGTACAAGGTGTTATGGCTAGCTTTATTTCGTTTTTTTTTTAAATATGATGGCTAAAATCTCATCCTTTATATTACCCATATAACAATACTAACCACTTATAATAGATTGACGATAGAAGCATGTGGTTGTATATAAAACGTTTATTGGGTCTAACTACATGATGGTACCAGAGAGAGGACGGAAGTGACGAGAGACACAAAATACACATAAACATGTAAGGGACATCACTCAAGATAACAATATAAATATAATACTAATACAGAAGAGTGAGTTCCCTTGACCTCACAATTATCTCAATCTATTACATCCCTTTACCCTTAGAACACAATAACACATCTCTCAATGGAACAATTGATAGTATCCTAAAATCACCAATTATATTGTAACATGAACACTATGGTAGATTACATCCTTACAAACAATGCACAATATGTTACAACATAATTAAATACAAAACAATGATGTCAAAGTCCTTTTGACCTTTAAAATCATAGGTCTAACTTATTTGGGACTTTGATTGTCCTGCTTGACCTTCTCAGTGGCTTTTGATTTGGTGACCCAAGATTCTGACCAACTGGATTCTCTATCTCAGGAGGTCTAGGATTTAAACCATTAACTCTAGAATTTACATTTTCTGACTCTAGACAACTTGGTTCACTCATGTCAACAGAACTTGGTTGTGGAACAAACTGAGTTGGTGTGAACTGATCAGATTTGGTGGGATTGACAGATTCACACTTATTATCTGCACAAGTTATTTTTAACTGGTCTGCATGTCTACGGACAATAAGTCCATCATTTGTTTTTACTTTATAAGACACAGGTCCTGTACATTGAACAATTTGACCTGGTATCCATTTTTCCTTTCTCCCATAATTTCTTAGATACACATTATCATTAACTGCAAATTCTCTTTCAATGGATGATTTGTCATGATTTACTTTTTGTGTATGTTGATGTTGGGAAACAGACCTTTGAACAGTTGGATGTAGTAGGTCAAGATGAGTTTTAATTTTCCTACCACATAGCAATTCGCATGGTGCAACATCTGTTGTTATATGAGGAGTTGTGCGGTATTTGGCTAATAACCTGTTTACTCTTTCACTGTCACATTTAGCTTCTTCTGTTTGGTATTTACTTTTGATGTTACCCTTTTAGTTTCTGTAAGTGCTAATGATGTTAGCAAAGTTGTTTGATGATCACATTCCTTCTTACTAATGTATTCTCTTTAAAAGCATTTGAAATTGCCATATCACCATAATCATTTATTAAGTTACAAATACTTTGTTTAGGCAACTCTGACTGATAATGGACTGCATCTTCTCCATCTTTTATATTATCTTCACAAAGGTTTTTATTTCTTATTTTATATGGCCTTAAGTCATCATTCACAGACTCTTCAGGCCAACCATTCTTACAGTAATCAGATACTTTTATTAAGCACTCATCTTTTTGTGTTTCTCTTTTAATATCATTCACATTTATATTGGAGTTATCTATGATAGTGAAGAGAACAAATACATCTTCTGGTACATAGCTAAGGCTTTGGTTTTTTAAAGGTAATCTACTAAGACTATCTGCACTATTCTCAGATCCAGGTTTGTATTTCAATTCATAATTGTATGCAGTTAGTGTGATAGCCCATCTTTGAATTCTTGGTGAGGCATGCTCAGGTAGGGTTTTGTTTTCTCCAAATAAACCTAGCAATGGTTTATGATCTGTAAAGATGGTGAACTTCCTATCAAACAGAAACTTATGAAATTTCTTAACACCAAAAATGATGTCTAAGCCTTCCCTATCTAACTGAGAATAATTTTTCTCAGCCTGGTTCAAAGATCTACTGGCAAAAGCAATGGGTCTGTCACCCTTTTCATCTATGTGGGATAAGACTGCTCCTACACCATCTGGTGAAGCATCACATGTCAATACAAGTCTTTTCCCTGGGTCATAGTGAGTTAGTAAGGTGTCAGAAGACAAAGCCTCTTTTGCTGTATTAAAAGCAGCTTCTTGTTGTTTACCCCAGTGCCAAGTTGCATTTTTCTGTAGCAGCTTGTACAGTGGTGATAGTTTACCAGACAGATTCCCTATGAACTTTGCATAGTAATTTATCAAGCCCAAAAAAGCTCTTAGTTGTTGGGTATTTTCAGGTTTGGGTGCTTCTTTAATGGCTTTTGTTTTCTCAGGTTGAGGTCTGAGACCTTGCTTGCTTAATATATAACCAAGAAAACTAATTTCTGTCAGCATGAATTGACATTTATCTTGGTTTATCTTTAAACCTTTTTCACCAACAATTTTCAAGACTTTATCAAGTGTTTTAAGATGTTCAGTGTCATTCTTACCAGTTATGTACACATTGTCAAAGTACACACAAACATTTGGAATATCCTTAAAAATACTGTCCATGACAGCTTGGAAAATTCCAGGGCTAGATGATATGCCAAAACATAGCCTTTCATATTGGTAGAGTCCTTTATGAATGTTTATTGTCGTATAGACTTTTGAATCTGGATGCAGTTCTAGTTGAGTGTAAGCATGACTAAAGTCTAATTCAGTGAATTTGTCTCCTCCTACCAAATTCAAAGAAATTTCTTCAATGTTAGGAATAGGGTACCTATTCAGCTCTATTTGCTTATTCAGTGTAGTTTTATAGTCTCCACAAATTCTTACAGAACCATCCTTCTTTAACACTGGCACAATGGGCGTTGCCCAATCGAAATAGTCTACCTTCTTTATGATGCCATTAGATTCCAATCTACTTAGCTCATTTTCAATTTTATTCCTCATTGCATAAGGTGGAATTCTAGCTTTGCAGTATCTTGGATTTGTGTCTTTAATGCTTAACTTCACTGTTCTATCATTTAGTAATCCAGAGTTACCAAAAACACATTTATTTTCAGATATAACTTTATCTATTGAAGTAAGACTAGATTCTCTTGCAATGTTCAATGAACATATATTCTCCCAATTTAACTTAAGATCACTTAACCAGTTCCTACCTAGTAATGGTGGTCCATTTCCTTCAACCACAAGAAGAGGAAGTTTAACACTTTGACCATTATAACTTACATGAACCATACACTCTCCTATTACCGGAACATTGTCACCAGTGTATGTTGTTAGACACTTGTGACACGGCTGTAGAGGCACTGATCCTCCTGTGACAGCGTCAAACTCTTTCTTTGTTATGACTGTTAGAGATGCTCCAGTGTCAAGTTGGAAGCTGATGCTCTTACCGTTGATATTAACTTGTACATTGATGGGAGCATGACTCATTGATTTCACAGAGAACAGGTTGAAATCCGGCTGCGAATCAGTTTGAGCATTTTCACTGGTAGAGTGGTTCATTGGTTGGGTTAGGTAGTCTTGGTGAGAGTTAACATAGTGCTGCCTTTGGTTGCGGTACTGTCTTGACTGGCTAGATTTAGCAACAGACGAAGACTTTGCAAAGCAGGCCTTGGCAATGTGACCTTGCTTACTGCACTTATAACAAGTTGCTAACTTAAACTTGCATCGATGAGATGCATGGGGACCTTTGCATCGATGACATTTTTGATAATTATTACTAGATTTAGATCTAGGATTTGAACGTGCAGGCTGTTTAGCATAAGTTGAAATGCTCTGATGGGGTTGGTGTTTGTTGACTAACCTGCTGTTTACTGCATGGATCTCTGAAGGTGCTAGAGATCTCGCCGCCTCGGATGACTGCTGGAATGAAGTCGCAAGTTGTATTGCTTTTTCTAATGTTAGATCTGACTCGAGCAGCAACTTTCTTTGAATATCAGGACTGTTTACACCTGTCACAAACTTTTCACATAGTCTGTCAGACAGCGTGTCTCCGAATTCACAAAATTCACTTAAATGACGTAAAGCAGCAACATATTCTGATATTGACTCGTTTGGTTGACGAGTCCTACTGTCAAATCTAGCTCGACATAGAAACTTTGATGGGGTAGGCGCATGGTGGTCTGTTAGCAATTTGCTCAGCTCGTTAAAGCTCTTGGTAGTTAGACTAGCTGGTGCGCATAAGTCCTTTAATAGCCTAAATTGTTGAGGCCCTATGACTGTTAACAAAACAGCTCTCTTTTTGGCTTCTATCGTCACGTTGTTTGCTTCAAGGTAAAAGCTTAACCTATCTAGGTAATCCTGAATGATTTCATCATTCGAATCAAATTCTTTTATTTGGCCATACAGCGCCATTATTCTAGAAATACTTAGCCAATAAGCTCTAGCAAACCTCCTTTTGACGTAATTAGGTGCTCTTTCTAGTGGATTTTTATCCTCGTCGCCAGATATAATAGATTGACGATAGAAGCATGTGGTTGTATATAAAACGTTTATTGGGTCTAACTACATGATGGTACCAGAGAGAGGACGGAAGTGACGAGAGACACAAAATACACATAAACATGTAAGGGACATCACTCAAGATAACAATATAAACATAATACTAATACAGAAGAGTGGGTTCCCTTGACCTCACAATTATCTCAATCTATTACACCACTAATAAACAGCAACATTTTAAATGTACAATTATAATTTGACTCATTGAAGTAATATTAACTCTACATTTTTCTTTATTGAATATATTCCATTTTATGTAATTCAAAATTTTGTATAAATAATTATATAACCCATTAAGTAAATCATAATTATGATAATTGAATTGATCAACAAAATGTATTAATTAATGTAGCAAAAAATGATTACATTTTTAAGACATAAGATACAATTTGTTATTATGATTATTATTGATTTTTAATTTATCTTTTTTTTTAAAGACATAATAAATATTTTCAGCTATTAATTAATCAGAAAGCGTTTATTCCATTTTGTTAGGGTTATTATAATTGGATTGGCTGTTATGATATACGAGCCGGCCCGCGGCATAACATACGCCGCTATTATTTGTTGTTTTTTCTACTTTTCAGTAATTCTTAATTTGTGAATTCGACAGTACCAACGCTGACTCTGAAATATTTCTTTAAAACACTATAAGTAGCTCGTTAAGGACCATAATCCCCCCCCCCCCCCCCCTTCCTCCCCCCCCCCCCCCCCAACGTTTAAAATCGTTTCAAACTAAATTATCTGCCCCTAATACTAATAGCCGTCACTAAACCCGACTCCACGAAGGTAAACAGCGTGAACCACAGCTCACTAAGACTATGTAGGGGTGGGGATGGTAGGGGGCGCGTTTACAGCTTGTTTTCTAGCGTCTCCCAGAAGAGAATTATATATATAGATAGATCTAGATCAATCTATATATATATACATACACACATATATATATATATATATATATATATATATATATATATATATATATATATATATATATATATATATATAAATGAATGTATTTGTTTTTTTTTTGTTGATTTGTCTTTATGGCATTACTACACCTTTCACCTATCGCCATCACACTTTTGGGAGTTGCTGAATAGGGTTCTTTCTGTTTTGAAGGGGGGGGGGAGATTCAATTTCACAAGGGCGGCGCACCGGCAAGGTTCGATGCGATTTGTCTCTATAATACGGTATATAAAAAGTTTGATGCGGTTAGACACCGTTCATCCTAGTGCCACAACACTTTGGGGAGTAAAA